TGGAACATCTCGCAAAAAATATTTTCAAATACCTTTTGATACGTTTTGTATGACCAAATTTTTGTAATAAAATTGTATCTGATAGGTCTCATGACAAAAATAAAATATGAAAATACTTCATAAGGCAATATCTCCGAAAAGGGGTGGTGTACGGAATTAAAAATTTCTCCAAATTTTTTTTTCGGGTCAACGAACTTTTTGGTGACATGCTGGTCATAATCCGTTTGGGGGCCGATTGACCTCTTCTTAACCTTCTAGAGCCTTTATGTATATCTGTGTGAAATGTCGAAACAAGAAAAAGAATCGAAACTTTTATCGTTTTATCATAAATATTTTATTGCACTAAGAAATTGCAATGATTTATAGCGGAAATAATTAACAAAAAACAATATAATCTTAGCATAATAAAATTATTTGCTTTAAACGTAATACATATTCTACTGTTTATATTTAACACATATAATAACATATAATTATTATTTATTTAAAAGTTCGTGTTAAATTAACATTCAACATTTCTTAATAACAAAAACAAATAACATAAAGATAATATATTTTGGAACGAAAAAACTTTTGATTTTTTAAACACTTTTTGATAAACTGTAAGTTTTTATCACTTTTCTTGAAAAGACTTTGATATCTCTATTGCGCTTCTTATTTGTCGTAATTCAATCAATACTGATCGTTGCACTTCCAAACATTGCTTTTGAATAAGTAGTTCTTCTTTTTTTAAAAGCAGCTTTTCTTTTTAAATATCAATCATTTCAGCCGACATGGATTTAAGCCTGCCGCACACGATACGTTTTTTCTTACTAGATTGCTTACGTGCTCCTATACTGGCAGTCTTACGTGCTCCCGTACGGGAAATGGATAGCTTACGGGCTACGCTACTGATTCGCGTACTGGATTTTCGTAATAGAACCGGTCCTATTTTTCTTGCGTGATTTTGTACTGGATTTTGTGAGAGCCAATCAGGACGCAATCTGTATAGTAGGTTATACTGACAAGTTATACCAGGTTATACGATCGAAGCAGATTAAAGTGTCGTCTTTACATCAAAGTCAAAAGTGGATTCAATTCGCAAATATAACGTCGTGCAGAAATGAAAAGGCTGCAAAATGGTCCAAAGAAAGTATTTTATGTTTAATAGAAGCCTACAAAGACGAACCGTGTTTATATGCGGTAAACACACCAAATTACCACAATAAACTCAGTAGAAGTGAGGCATTAAAGAATGTGTGTACCATTGTTTCAAGGGTTAGACCTGGAACTACAGAAAAAGAGTGTTCAACAAAATTTTATAATTTGCGAAATCAATTTAACATTGAAAATGCAAAAATAAAATCATCAATGAAATCTGGAATTGGTACTAACGATGTAAGTATAAAAATGTAACCCTCTTCTTACAATCTTTCTTAAAAATGTACTTAATAATTATTTTTTTATTTTTACCAAATTTAAGTTTGTCTTAAAAAATGTTTACAGGTATATAAACCAAATCTTTGGTACTTCGAATATTTACAATTTTTAGAAAGTTATTTCACACCTCGAAAAAGCCGAAATTCTATAGAAAAAAATTCTCTTGAAACATCATTATTGATATCTACTTTAAATCAGGTAAAATGCGATTTAAAATTAAATAATTTCTGAAATACTACAAATTAATTTTATAACTTAAATACCTAAATTGTTTGAATTTATTGTATGTTTATTCTTAATAAAAAATAATTATTTTTTATATTATTTATAAATTATTTACTTAGGATGAAGAAGTTTAAAATATTCAACAATTGCCTCAAATGGATACCTGTGCTGAAGAATGGTTAGATGAAGAATACAGTAATTTTGTTGATGAATCGACAAACGAATCAACTTCATCTTTCATTGATTCATCAGAAGTTGCAGAATCAGTCAATAACCAAGTCTCACCAGTTATCAGTTCTTGTATCCCATCTACAATTCCTGAGGAGAGAACTGATAGAGCTCTTAATAGAATTAGAAGTAAAACTCCTTTATCTACAAATATTCCTCGCCCATCTCCTATTAGTCCAGCAAATTCTATCGCATCTTCATCAGAAATTAACAATCATACTCGCCCATCTCCTTCTATTAGTCCATCTCCGACAATCCAAACCACAAAGAAACGTAAATTAGATTCTGAAACTGTTTATGCTGGAGCTATTGAGGCATTAGCACATTCAATAAAGCAACCCATAACTGTACAACGAACAGACAAGTCAACAAATAATTCTACAAATAACGTGTTAGATCCTGTGGATACATGTATGGCATTTATAGGATCACTATTAAAACGTTTTAAAAATGAAAGTTTAAAGTTTCAAGTAATGAATACATTGGTTGAAAGGGTTATAAATGCTAGCACTGAAGATCTACAAGGAGAAAAGAGATAACTAATTCTTTTTTTATAATGTTATTCCTTAAAAAATTGTTTTTCAAACGCATTGTGTTATTGTAAAAGATGTGTGTATTATATATGTATTTTTTTATTCGAATAAATATTAGATAAAGATATAATGGTCCTGAACAAATGTATATATCCTTATTAATCAAAAAAAGTTATAAATAATAAGGTAAACAATTTCTGAAAAAAAACCAAAAACATTCCCGGGCAGTTTTTTGTTAAAAACTGCCCGGGAATGTCATACTCGGAGTAGGATTAATTTTAAGGGCTAAAAATCTATTTTATTTCTTTTTTATTTTTTAAATATCGTTTCATGTAATCTTAAGTTAGTATTTTTACAATTTTCGACACAATTACAAAAATTTGTTATTTGAAAATAATTAAATTCCTCTTTCTACAGCAGAATACTGCCATGGAACAGCACCAGTTGTATTAAAATATTCAGTAAACATGTCTCTTATTTCACCAGCTGCAACAGATAAACGATTTCCCCCTTGTTGATTCACACTACGTAATCCTGATTCAGGTATTTCTAAATTTTCTGATCTATATTCAGAGGGAATATAACGTTGCACATTTTTACTCAACAGAAAATTATGAAGACGCACACATGCATATGTTATGATTTCTACTTTTTCTACAGAGAGTGGTATGTGATTTAGAAGAACTCTGAATCTATGTATTTTCAACAGTTCTTCGTGCTCTACTTAATCTGTAATTGAATATTCGTCTGTTTTCTGTCAAGCCACGGTCAGGATATGGTTTCATTAAATTTGTATGCAAAGAAAAAGCATCATCTCCTACAATTACATATGGCATTTGAAAATTAAAATTCAGTAGAGTCTTTGGTTGTGGCAAATTAAGAGTGTTTTCCTTTAGTTTTATACCTAACAGACTTTCACGAAATACAGCAGAGTCATGTGTGCGACCATTTTTACCAACGTCTACAAAAATAAATTTATATTCTGCGTCTACTAATGCGAAAAGAATGATGCTGTCTTTTCCCTTATAGTTACGATATTTAGCTCCTTCAGAACGTGGAGGACGAAATAAAATATGTTTCCCGTCTATAGCACCTATGCATTGAGGAAATTGCCACATAGTTTCAAATTTATGAGCTACAATTTCCCACTCTTCAGGTTTAGATGGAAATGGTATCACATTTTTATCTAACACTGTAATAATAGTTTGTAATGTTTCTAATATAATTTTTGACAGAGTATTTGGAGCAATTCTTGTAGAGTACGCAAGATCTTGAAATGAATTGCCAGTTGCCAAATATCGAAGCGTAGCACTCAGTCTCATCCGAGAAGAAATTGCTTTTCTCATTACTGTGTCTTTCTTTTCAATATATGGAATAAGAAGATTTAACAGTTCCTCCATAACCTCTTCTTGCATTCTAGTGAAATTTTGAAAAGATCTCGGATCTTCAGGTCTGTAAGCAAGGAATAAAAATATAACATATAAGATGATAAAAGAAATGTTACAAAAAATTCAAAACTTTATACTCACCCGAATTCTTCAAATAATATTGTAAGAACACTATTGTGGGTCTCTCGTCGTTGCAGCCACTGTCGACTCCATAAACGTCGGCGATACTTATTTCGTTGTCGTCGCAATTTTTCAATACTTAAAAATAATGCAATAGCAATTTTCCGACGATGTACCACTGTTGCAATAATTTCATCCATCTCAT